TCAAGGAGACCTGCAAAATATTTTCATCATTAGACGTTAAAGTTTATTAAAGTGTATCAAATGTTCTTCATGAATACTTTGTGCATGGGAGTTAGAATGAAAGAAAGATTCGCTCTTTTATAAACTTTTTCATCTTTTGGAATCATTGTTTGAGCGCTTGAGGTGAGTGGGGGTTCAAAGTAACCAAAAGGCCTTTGAATCTTTGACTCCAGGCCTTATAGAGAGTTGACGATCCTCTATATGTGGTCAAGGATATGAATCAACTCGAGCCTTTGAATTATTTTCTATTCTTAAGTGCGTAAGTTACGTAATATATTGTCTACGTGCCTATTATACGTGTAATGTTCTATTTTTGTTCGTTCTCTTTTTAATTTTGTTTCGGGTTCTTGGCGGTGTTTCTTGGGTTACCTTTGTTGGAAAAGTTGATTATCTTTTGAGATTGTTTTCCCCATTTTATCAAAAAAACCAAAAAATTAAGAAAATATAAAAAACCAAAAAATATTTACTTTTTATTCAACCCCCCCCCTTTTGTGTTTTAAGTTATAAATATAAGTTTTTATATATTTTTTAGTATATCTTAAGTATATGTTTTATGTTTATAAGTTATATTATAAGTTCTTTGTTTATATAAGTTATATTTATATGTTTTTAGTTATAAGTTTTATAAGTTCTTATCATATGTGTAGTTTTTTTTAATTTTATTTCGTGACAATGTGTGTGCATGCTTAAATGATTTCAAAAGTACAAACTTTCTCCGTGGGATCGACCCTTACTTGCCCTAGCTATAGTCTTTATTTGATTATATTTTGGGGGTTAGTTTAGGATATTTTATAAATTTTTAATTTGTTTTGGACCACACGACAAGTCCTCAACAAATTTTGTAATACCCCCACACTTAAGACTTGAACGTCCTCGTTCAAAAGACCAAAAGAAACCAAACTTTTTATCATCATCAAGAAAAAGAAAGTGCACCTTACAAACTCACACTTAAGACTTTATGCCCAGAGCATTAAAAAATAAAGTGAGCTAGAAATCCTACAAGGATGGAGAACTATGATGTGGATTTTCTTGGGTTCTAACAAATGCTCTAAAGCTGCTACAAAAAAGTTTCCTAGTGGAATCCTATGGTTTAGAATGGCTCAATAGCAGTGGTAGCAAGGTTCATCAATAAGCCTAAAAATATAAAAATCACTCAATTTTCTAAAAATAAAAGGCTCCTAAAACTGGTTTCTCTCTGTTTTTTTCTTCAGATTTTAATATCACGCAATGGTTGATTAGGCAGCATCTAGATAATATGTGGATGGCGAGTTCTAGAAAACAAAATTCTAAGGTAACCTATAAGGATTTCAAACATTTTAAGGTCATTTTTACCAAGAAAATGGGCTTAAGACTCAAGACAAGCTTGCAAAGAAACATTTGTTATCTTTCAGAATAAAGCACAAAAAAAATTGAAGTTTTTGGGTCAATGTTTAAAAACAATGCTCTAAATAAGGAGATATGCAATTAAGAATGACAAAAATATTTGGACCCAAAACTTATTTTTTTGAAAAAAAATTTGCCCAAAAATATACTCCCCCAAACAACGGAATAAACATGAGAACCTCAAATACCCCACACTTAAACTATGCATAGTCCTCAATGCATCTAAATGATATGCAAATGAGAAAACAACAATATAACCAAGAGAATAAGCTAAGAGAGAAGAGGATGGGGAGTAACGCAACAACCAAAAGAATGGAATGGGAATGATAATTTAAAAAAGTATACGCGGCATCATTTCATTATTTTTCCCTCCTTTAAGTTCTCGATGGACCTAAAATCTGCAAAGACAAGGCTAAAACCAAATTTTTTTAGCATTGAAGAACAAAAAATCAAATTTCAAATAATGCAGATTTTTTCTAATTTAGCACATATAAGCCGTGAAAAGTGTAGAATTTTCATTCTGCACTAAAAAAACAAGCTTACAAGGTGCATATTTTCAGTTTATAGCCCAAAAATCAAATTGAGAAGTGCAGAATTTTTCCATTGGTACTCAAAAATCAGCCTTAAAAGTGCAGAATTTTTCAATTTTCATCTCATAAATGATCAAATATAAACACAGAAGGCTTAAGAAAATTGAAATTTAATGGCATACCAACACTCGAGCACTTCGAGCCCCTGTTTTAAAACAATTTTTTTTTTGCACCATAATGTGCAGATTTTTACTCCAAACACCATGCTTCCACCTAAAACTTAACAAATCTTGCAAAAATCTCTCAAAGTAGATGGTTAGAAGCACATGTAGAGTAAAAATAAACAATTAAGCTCAACAAGATCACTTTTTTTTTATTTTATACATTAAAAAAAAACTAAATGAAAGAGAGAAAAAAAAATTCTTATAATTACAATAAGTACAACTAGATCGATTTGGAAAAACAATTACAAGAAAAGTAAGTTAGTTATTAAAAGAAAGAGAATAAAAACCAAATTAACCATTACAAAGGGGAAAAAAATTAAGTACAACAACAAGTTAAAGTTAGTAGTAAGCATAAGGAACTTAAAGAAAAATTAAAAACGCTATAAAAGTAAGTGGGTTAAGTTAAAAAAAAATTAAGAAGGAAAAAAAAATGCAATCAACAACTATAAGAGAAGAAGAAAAAAAAGTACAACAATTACTAGAAGTAAGAAAATAAAAAGAACTTACATAAAAATAAATAAATAAATAAAAATGCTTACAAAAAGTAAATGGGTTGTCTCCCAGAAGCCGCCCAATTTAACGTCTATGGCTAGACAAAGCTTACTACTTGCCAATACATATTCACTTAAGCCTTGAAGTAGTAAAATAAGTGTGTTTCTTTAAAACACTCCAAAAAAAATAATAACATTATATACAGTTCAATCTTGATTTTTACTCTCTCAACAAAAGTGATAACTAAATGCTCAATTGAGAAGCAAAAATGAGATTCAAGTAGCAAATTTAGACCTATGAATCAGATTCAAAATGAGATTTCTCTGCATTTTTTTTGCACTTCCGCATAAAGAATCAGCATATAAGGGTCAAAATAATATTGAATGAACAAGTGATAAGCGTCTAAAATTAGTTCCTATGCAAATTTAGCAATGAAAGTTCATAAGTCAGGCATAAAAAGCATCTTAGGAACTCAAATTCAGCATAAGAATCCAGCAAAAATGTTGCAGATTTTTCAACAAAACAGCAGTGTAGGTCTAAATTTCAGCAAATTCAACTTCTAAATCTAAAAAATCAACATATAAACATCAAGTCATGCTTCTAGATATTGTCCTCAAGCAAGATATATCATATATAGTTCATATTTGAAGCAAAGAAGCACTCCAATGACAAAAACAGCATGAAAACAAAGTCAAAAGTGCACTTTCTTCAAAAAAAATCAGCATGTATAAATCAGATTTTTAAGCAAATGTAGCATCAAATACTCAAGAATAAGACTTTTGACATCATGTTATAGCTTTAAATTCAGTTCCTAAAGAAGTTTTAAGAAATTGAGCACTTTAACCAACATCAACTCAACTTGCAAATCACCCAAAAAGTGCAGATTTTTTCTCTTTAAAAAACATCATAAAAGAGTTTTCCAGCACCTAATGCAATCAAAATCAGCTGAAACATATATGCTTACTTCAATCCAAATGCATATTTAAGGAACGATTTTTTTTTAAAAAAAAACAGCATGTATCATTGAAATAAAATCAGTTCACACACGTTGCATCCATCGAATTAATAACCAAAGGCCAGAGCAACACTTGTGTTAATGAAAAGAAACATATATGATCAATAGCACCAGAAATCAGAAGATAAAGAATGCAGAAAAGGTCTCAAAATGCAATTTTCATGAAAAATTGGCCAAAAATCTCACAAAAACAACATATGGAACACAATTTTCAGCAATGAATTCAAGCACAGATACTGATTTCAATTTGTTCTAGCATACAAACCACACATAACTTCAATGCTATGACTTTAACATGTGAAATAACTTCGCACAAAAAATTTGAGGCTTGCTTTTACAACCTGCATTCTCAAACAAACACAAAAAGCACATCCTAAACTGATTTTATACAAATTAAACTTTCCCCGGCAACGGCGCCAAAATTTGTTGAGGACTTGTCGTGTGGTCCAAAACAAATTAAAAATTTATAAAATATCCTTAACTAACCCCCAAAATATAATCAAATAAAGACTATAGCTAGGGCAAGTAAGGGTCGATCCCACGGAGAAAGTTTGTACTTTTGAAATCATTTAAGCATGCACACACATTGTCACGAAATAAAATTAAAAAAACTACACATATGATAAGAACTTATAAAACTTATAATAAAACTTATAACTAAAAACATATAAATATAACTTATATAAACAAAGAACTTATAATATAACTTATAAACATAAAACATATACTTAAGATATACTAAAAAATATATAAAAACTTATATTTATAACTTAAAACACAAAAGGGGGGGGGTTGAATAAAAAGTAAATATTTTTTGGTTTTTTATATTTTCTTATTTTTTTGGTTTTTTTGATAAAATGGGGAAAACAATCTCAAAAGATAATCAACTTTTCCAACAAAGGTAACCCAAGAAACACCGCCAAGAACCCGAAACAAAATTAAAAAGAGAACGAACAAAAATAGAACATTACACGTATAATAGGCACGTAGACAATATATTACGTAACTTACGCACTTAAGAATAGAAAATAATTCAAAGGCTCGAGTTGATTCATATCCTTGACCACATATAGAGGATCGTCAACTCTCTATAAGGCCTGGAGTCAAAGATTCAAAGGCCTTTTGGTTACTTTGAACCCCCACTCACCTCAAGCGCTCAAACAATGATTCCAAAAGATGAAAAAGTTTATAAAAGAGCGAATCTTTCTTTCATTCTAACTCCCATGCACAAAGTATTCATGAAGAACATTTGATACACTTTAATAAACTTTAACGTCTAATGATGAAAATATTTTGCAGGTCTCCTTGAACTACTCAAGCATAAGAATTGTAATCTATTCACATAAAAGAACATTACATATTTTCATTAAATCAAGAGTTGTTTATTGCGCTTAAACAATCCCAATTTTTATGAAAATAACAAACAA